ATTTTGCATTTTTATGAATTTTTATTATTTATTATATTTTTTGTAAAAATAAGCCCTTAAATTAAGGGTTGATTTTGAGTAATTTTGTTATATGGTCAATTAATGTCAAATAAAGGTGAATTTAATTCCTTTTTTGTGTAATATGTCTAAGTTTATTAGTTTAAAGTTTTATTTATGTTGGATATGTATATGAATTTGTTAGGTTTTTCTAAGTTTAATAGATAAAAACCTTAATTATTTTACCTAGATGTCATTAAGGTTCAATTGGGTTTTAAAATCAACTTGTCTAACCCTTACAACTAAACACACAAGCCATAAAATTTTCAAAACTAAATTCTATGTATTTTAAGAAAAATGAATTTTTGAAGTTTTCGATTAAAATTTGACCCAGAACATTGGAAATTCGGTGATGCCCTAGAATCTAAATTAAAAGAGTTATTCATTAGTCCTTTAAATAAATAACAATAAGAGCTATCTAATATCATCTATTAGTAATAAACTATGCAATATATTCTATAATTTAAAACATCAATCAACACATCTATATTTATTCCAAAAAATTATATACACTACTCAGGACTATAATAAAAACAAACAGAACTTGAAGAATCTGGACCAGCCTCACACTTCTGTTCTCATGTCCTATCCTGAAATCATTTAACTATATATAATGAACTTTAAAAGCACAACATGTCACCAAAACCTATAACTAAATTCAAAGCACATAAAAGGAGCAATATATATGTCAACAGTTAAATTATGACAGTTGCATTCATGTGATCATTGAATCAGTGCAATAATAATAAAACTCAAATGTAGTAGTAGTAGAATCTACAAACAATAAAATACTACATTACAAAATCTAGTAAACCAATACGAGTGTTAAATCTATAAATTAATTATGTCTTTATAATCAAATAAAATATCAAATAAAAAATAAAGACTGTAAAAATTAAATAAATATATTATAATCATATATGAATATACACATGTTATCCATACATTCTATATCACATGCTTAATATCAGTATAGTGAATTAGTGGTATCAATGTCTATATTAGTAATGGTAACAATCTAGTGGTAGGAGTAGTCGAATAATGCAATAATAGTAAATCTATATAGTCATAATAAATCTATACAAAAATAAGAACAATGACTTAATAACCTGTATTTTAGTAGTCAGACCAAACAAGTAAGAAGTCCTGATTATTATGGTATTTTTTAGTGTTAGTAAACTGTTGGCTCAGTAAATAGAGTCTTCACTCTTTACACATTTATACAGTAATAATCCCCTTATAACTCCCAATCAGTGTATAATGTGAATTAGTAGAGGATAACACCAAATAATAATATTTAAAGGAAAGTTTGTCGGCCCACCATCATGTACAGGACAATCAGTCTCCAACCAACGGGTCAACTAGTCTTTACTTATTTACTTCACACACGCATATTATTACTATAATAGTAATTTCGACTAGCTATTACTCATGCACGTATCCACATCCATTTTTAATATATTGCAATAAATAAAGCATACTTTAGCTTAATTAAGAATGTGTCAAAATGTCAAAACTATATAAAAAAAATCTTATTAGGCAAAAATGTACATTTTTAGAAAATATAATTTATGGTATTTTGATAATTTTCTAAAAATGTACATTTTTAGAAAATTATCAAAATACCATAAATTATATAAAATGATGTTTTAAGACATTTATTGTACTACACTACTATTTTTAGACATCAAAATAAATTTTGAGATATATAAAAATTACTATATTTTTAAAATCATCCAGTGAAAAATCTCAAATAAATACTCAAAATGTTCTTAATCATGATCTCTATAACATAAAAGTTGTGTGGTGAAAGTTTTACCAATACAAAGTTATTCACATTTTTTGATAATTAAAACACAAATTTGAGTGAAAAAATATTAAAAACACAAAATCCTTAAAATCAAAATTAGGGTAAAGGTTCCTTACATCGAGATGAGCAAATTTCCCAACTAGCCCGATGGACGAAAATCACACTCCGATCTCCAAATCCAAACTTTTTCTTTTCTCTCTCTTCTCTTTTCTCTCATTTTTCTCAAATCAACTCTCTGTTAACCGTTTACTTAAGGGAAAGGAACCTTAACTAATGCATGAAGATATTTGTAATAATATAATGATATAATATTCATTTAATATTTAATGAAATCAATTCTTTAGTATAAAATTCAAATAATTGATTTTAGGACAACAAAAATTACAAAAAATATCTATAAAATAAAGCATAATATTTAAAGAATATCAATAAAATTGGTTTGTAAAACTAACACTTAACGATCCTGAAATTCTCACTTGTACCCATTGGCGGAGGGAGGGGGGCAAGGGGGACACGTGCCCCCCCCCTAAAAAAAATGCATGTTAAGGAACTCCACCATCTCTCTCTCTCTCTCTCTATAGCCATTATAATCTAGTATATATATATATTAGGCCCCACCTAAATATATTTTCTGGCTATGCCACTGCTTGTACCGATAGGTACAAATTTCTTAAGGATTTTCACTGGTGCCCAAAAATTAAGAAACAAATCGTGTAAGTAAAATATTATAATAAAAATAAGGAGGAGACCATTTGTGATTTGGAGTTATAATGACTCCAAAAAAAATTTAGCAAAGTTAAAATACGGATTATTGCAAATTCCATCTATGAAAATCCAACCTTCATCAGGGGACAAGAAAATTGAGGTATGTTAGGAATATCCCCAATTATACCCTGTGTAAATTTAATCTCAAAATTGAATTTCTCACATTCTCATTATCTAAATCTAATTAAATTAAACTTAAAGTAAACTTGGGCTCAAGACGATTCCAACGAACCCAAAAACATCAAAGTTGGATGAGAAATGATTTTTTGGTTATTTTGCAAAGTTTTAGTCATTTTTTTAAAGTTAAAGATTGTACTGCATGAAACCTTAATCATCAGTTGAGGCAAACAACATGCACTTTGAGTGGGAATTGTACTGGTGATCATATAGTATGATTTTACACAATCTAAAATGAAATAATGGCTATTTGATCAAAGCAGAAGAAATTGACGGCTGTGATTTTGTCTTTTACCCAATAATGACTGAAAACCTAAACTAAAAAATCTTCTTAAAACTTAATGCATGTAGGTTAAATGTCATAAAACTTTAGAAAACTTTAAAACTTGGCTAAAGAAGATAGGGGAGCCTATTTTAAGGTTCAAAAACACATCACACACAGAGAACATTCAATCATAGATCTAGGAGCTAGGGTTTAAGTTTTATCTCTATAAAATGGACACCATAATGTATGGGATGGCTATTTCTCCTCCTTAGAGCTCTAAGAGAAACTTCTCTTCAGTAAGGGAAACTGAAGGTAGACTGAAACTTGGGTTGGAATGGATGTGAGGGGTTTTCCCAAGTTTTTCCCTATTCTAAGTCCCTCCATCCCAAGGAAGGGTTGGGATTGATTGGCTCACATTATGGTTGGTTGCCAATTGGACATAGCTCAGCTTTGGGTAGGGAGAGTTATTGGAAAGTTAGGAAAACCATTGATCACTTTTCATTGGTGGATATTTGGGTGCTCAATTTGGTTAAGCCAAAGCTTTGAGTCAAGTTTAGGGAGGCTTGTGAAACATCCTAAACGAGTTTAGGAAGGCCTTTAGGGCTGATGTAGAGAGGTTTTAGGAGTTGCATGAAGTTGACTATTTTGACCATGGAAGGGCATTTTGGTAATTTTGGCCATGTTGAATAGTCAAAGTGGCCAAGCCACCTAGGATGGGCTGTTGGGAGCTCCTAAGAGCCATTTGCATGGGTTTAGGTGGATTTTATTGATGATTATAATTGAGTGTTGGTTGTTTGATTGATTGGATGTAGATTGATTGATTGTGATCAAAGAGATGTAAATGAAGTGACTATAGATCAAGGTGATCAGGTAGATATGGATCAAGTGACCTCAACTAAAAGTGAGGTTGACAATATATAACAAGTTTATCAAGATAACTCAATATTTAGTTGGTTTACAAAACATTTATATGAGACTTAATAATATTACAAGCACATTATAAGGCAGCATCCAAGCATAGATGGTGAGCCACAGTTGGACTTCAATGGAATTCTTTATCAAGAGTGAAAAAAAGGGTAAATTTATTTTGAACAAACATTATTATTTGATTATATAATAACTTCTGAATCTCAAGAAGAAAATTTTCTAATATGTGAGGACTAGCATGAATTCATCGTACTTTGTAAACCTAGCCCAAATATCACTTTAGGCAAATTATCAACATGTATGCATAGATTTTAAAGAGAAGAAAAAATCAAACTATTGAGATATTATTAGGAGATATTCATAAAGGATCTTTAAAATGGGTTGGTATGAACAACATTAGCATCTTAAAAAAAACTATATTTTATTCTTATCATTCTAATAATAGTATTATAAATACTTCTATAATAACATGAATGATATATTGATTGACTTTGTAATGCATTATAGCTTTGGTTTTATACAATAACTATCATAAAAAATTTGGTGTGACATATATGTTATTATAGCTCTCTGAAATCCATATATTCCCCTATTGTGCCTAGTTTCTAAAATCCATATTATTTTTGAATTATTTTGTTGTATTTATGTTATACTTAATTTTGTCAAAACTGCTGTAATTGCATTCTATCGAATCAACAACTATTATAGTTAGTAGAACACAGCCTACTATATCCATGACTATTAGACATGTTTGAAACTTGTTCAAATCACGTTCTACTATCATTCAAACATTAGTAGTACCTTATTAAAATATTTTTTAAACAACATTTAAATAATGTTCGAATATGATTCAAACAAAATTTAAACACTCATTGAATAATATATTTATTCAGATCATAAGTTAAATATTTTAGTTCAAAATTATATATTAAGTATATTTAAAAATAAATAAATAATAGATTTTATTAATTTTGATTAAAGTGAATGAGAGTATCATCATTTTATTTTAATTGATTCATATAAATAAGGAGTCGAGTTGTACGATGCGGTGTAAAAGAAACCCATAGGATATTCATCCTCGGTGGTGCTGGCCACCGGAAATCCCAGATCGTTCCAAAGAGGATAAGAGGTACACCACGAACAGATGCTGACGTGTCGCCACCATTGATGTGACCTCACGTACCCTCTGGTCTTTTCTCCTTTGCACCAATGACTTTCAACCATCTCAACGTCTCAGCCGTCCATCTCTTGATCTTCTTTTCCAGAACCTCAGATTAACGCATGCGGATCTAAAAGAAACAATAAACAATCAATAATGGCTCCAATTTTGGTGACAGTGGAGATCGAGTGCGTCAGCGAGTCAAGAAGGCCACTTGGTAAACGCAGAAGAGTAACAGTAAAGAAGAGAAATTAAGCCAAAACGAAACAGGAGAAGAGATCAGCAGTTACAAGCAATTTCCTTTTCGGCTCCCGAAAGCTTTTCAATTCAGTGCCTTCACGCCTCGTGAACCCTTTCTTGAATTAAATAAGGGAATCTACTTGCCGGCGAACACGACGACATCCGGAGAACAAGACCGCCACCACCGCCGTGAGCATTCCCGATGGGCGGCTTGGATAACCTCACGGCTGAAGACAACGCACGCACAGTTCGTTTTTTTATTTTTAAAGTTGTTTATTTTAACGTGAACCTCGTGTTTCGCGTTTTTGGTGATCGTCCCCAACAACAAACGATTGCAGGCAAGAACAGCAAGAGGAGCAACAGAGGACGAGAAGATGGAGAACCAAGCGGTGCCCGCCGGAGAAGTTATGAGAGGAGGAGAGGTAGTGGTGGATTCAGTACAGAGAGACACAACGGTGTCCAGGTTGCGCGCACAGCTTCAAGTTCCCCCAATCCAAGTCGTTTCCCATGACGCCGCCGCTCCTCCGCCTGTCACTCCTCCCTTTCCCCAGCCCGTGCAAACCCCTCCTCTGCAGGTAAGAAAATTTTCTTTTTTATTCTTGTATGCTGTCCATGGCTATTTCTAAGCCGAATAGCTGCAGACCTCAATCGCTTCATTGAACTCGAGGAAGTACACCAACCGCATCACCTTCTTAATCTTCCTCCTCCACCTCGCTATAGCAGTGGCGGCAGCCGGTTTCTTCAGTTTCAAGGCCGTGCAGGGTGTTCTTGAACATGAGACCGGCAAATCGCGGAGGGAGCGTCGGGCGCTCAAGTTCTGGCTCCCTCCCATCGAGGGAGCCTCCTTGCTCGGTATCATCCTAGCCTTCGTGTGGCAGACGTCGTTCCGAGCCTGGCCGGTCTTCATGGTCAGCTTCGCCCTCTGGGCATGTTTCCTCATCACCATGGCCGCCGGTATCCTCCTGCTTTGCTTCTCGATGCCGGACACCGACGTCGGCGGCGTCTTCCTTCTTCTCTTTTCCATCGGCACCGGTATCTACGCTTGCTGGGTCCCTCGCCGCGCCACCTTCTCCGGCCGCGTCTTCGCCAAATCCCTCCAACCCGTTCAAAAATTCCCCGGCGTCAACGGCCCTGCCTACCTCATGATGGGACTCGGCTTCCTGTGGATCTCGCTCTGGTGCTTCGCGGTGATCGGCGCCCTCGAGTTCTACTATCCGCCGCTCACAATTTTCGCCCTTGTGCTGAGCCTCATGTGGACGGCGGAGGTGTTGCGCAACGTGGCTAATCTAACAGTTAGCCGCGTAATCGCGCTCTACTACCTGAGAGGTATGCAGTGCAACATCCAGTTCTCCTTCCAGCGAGCGGCATCAATAAATCTCGGCAGCGCATGCCTCGGCTCCCTCTTCGTCCCCACTATCGAGGCTCTCCGCATCATCGCCCGCGGCCTTAACCTCCTCGAAGGCGAAGACGAATTCCTCTTCTCCTGCGCCCACTGCTGCCTCCGCGTCATGGAGTCCATTTTCCGCTACGGCAACAGCTGGGCGTTCGTCCATGTAAGCCATATATATATATCATCATCTCTTCCATCACAAAAGCTTCTTTTTTTATAATTATCTTCAACGAAATGGGGTTATTCTTCCTTTCTTGATGCTTGATTGTGCTAGATTGCGGCGTACGGGAAAGGGTTCGTTGCGGCATCGCAGAGCACGTGGGGGCTTTTCAACAGGCAGGGGATGGAGGAGCTGGTGGATTCCGACATAACCAGCTCGATCTGCTTCTTGACGGGCGTATCAAGCGGGGCGCTCTGCGTCATCTTCTCGGCGTCGTGGACCTTCTGGACGCACCGGCGCTATACCATGACAGTCTCGCTTGTAGCCTTCTTCGTGGGCTATCTCATGACCCGTATAGGCATGGCGCTGCCCCAAGCCTGCGTGGCGTGCTTCTACGTCTGCTACGCAGAGAACCCGGCAAGCCAGCTCTTTGACTCCACCATACCAGATCGCCTCGCCCAAATCCGCTCGGCCAGCCGCGACGGCCTCGTCTCCACGCCGCGCTTTGTCCCCCGCCGCGTGCTTTCCAGGGCGTGAGCCGCCTAAGCTCGCTTTGACTGGGAAATGGAATGTGGTAGGCGTTCCTTTTCGATGTTACCGTTGTCTCGCCATTGGCTGCTACAGACCTATGGTCGTCGGGGCGGGGCCCGCGACAGCTACGGTGATGCATTCAAAGCTCGGCCGGAAAAGGGCGACCGGGAAAGGTGAGAGAGATCGCGCCACACGGCGACCAACGGTGCCAAACAACGCGGGGCCCATTTAACTTTCTTTAATGCATTGTTTGGTTGTTTTGCAGTGGAGGCCCCATGGGCTGTCCTATCCCTCGTGCGAATATTCCGTGAGAGGAGCCGTGGGCCCACGCTATATGACTGTATGCGTTTGGTCATTGAGGAGAAAACTCTTTCGTGAAGGCGCCTCAGCTGCACGAAGGGGACTTTTTATTTTCTTCATCTATTTAATATTTAATTTGTAAATATCATTTAATATTTAATTTATATGCATATTTATGTATTATTTTAATAATAAGAAAATGCTTTGACATTTTTATTTGAAAATTATAATTGAAATAAATATGAATTTTTATATATTTGATATATAAATATAGAAAAATTATGTGATATACATGAAAATTATTGTTTTTTTTAGGTAGACTACAGTGAGATATTACATGTGTAACACTTAAAATTCTTTTATTTATATATTTAGCACATAATTTTATTTTTTGCTCATCTTAGCTCATCATCAATGTTGTCATTACATGTGAAAAATATTGGAACACTAGATGACTAAGATGTATGGAAGATGTGAAGGAGATTCTCATTGTTAGTTGATGGGTTGGTAGCGCGTCGAGGTTGACAATAAAGATTCGAGAAAGTCAGGGTGCAGTCTCATTTTGAGCACCGATATCTCATTGAAAAGGGTATCGTGAGACCTACTATGTGTGAAGGTGAAGATAAGACTTGAGTCATACAAAGATCGATATGAAGAATTTCTAATGGGATCTTATAGGAGCACCAAAAACTCGCTCATGAGTGAGTAGAGGGGGAACTTTTGATAGAAGTTAACTATACATGATAATTTTTATTGTTATTTAAAACTTTAATATTATGAGAAAAAAAATTATAAATATTAAATAATAAACTTTAGATGTTATTTACAAAAAAAAAAAATCTCCTTTTTAAGAATTATGCAGATATGAAAACCATCATTTACACCTAAAAAAAAATCATCATTTTGTCTTGGATTTAGTGCGACTTGGTTGAAGGGATGAATTAAAAGATAATAAAGGATTCTGGTGCAATTTTTGTAGTTTAGGTAGGTGGTAAATATAGTATGGTTTTCTCGTGCTTTGATGTAATAACCGACAAATTAGTGGACAGAGATGGTGTGTATAATTTGGGGTGGCACAGAGTGACAGAATTGGCAGATTTCATTTCTGCTCTTGGCTGTAGCTATTCTAATTTTGATTTCAAGCTGAGCTCATGACCGTTAAAATTCGAAAATATTGATCAAGAAGGAATGTGAGCACAAAATTATTACCAAGAAGGCTATTTTAATCATTTGATACAATAAAAGTTTTATTTGATGGTTTTAATGGAATGAGAAAATTGTCACTTTTATAATATAAAATAATATATTGGTGTTGCGTCCTAGAGTATTCGAGACGGTATAGAAATATAAAATTTAGTATCTTAGCGTTGTACGAAAATACGGCACGCAATCAAATAAGAGAGATGATCGAGCATTTATAAGACACCAATATTTTTTACGTGGAAAACTCTTAAAAAGGAAAAAAAATCACAGGGCCTAGCCCAATTTGAATAAATCCACTAGTATTGTTGTTGATTACAAATGAGGTCCTTCTTTGGGTGAAGGCCTTAGTTTGATGTACATCGTATAGAGTATATTACATGGTGAGAATACAAAGAATCACTGTTGACGTGTTCGTTTGGTTAGAAAAATCATAGTCTGGTGACAGAGGTCAGAAAAACTGTAGTCGGCGGAGGTCAGAAGAACAGTAGTCGGTGGGCGACAAAGGTCATAAAGACCGTGTTCTGGCAACGAAGGTCGGAAAGACTATAGTCGGCGGGTGACGTAAGACAAGAGGACCGTAATTGGCAGACGACGGAGGTCGGAATGACTGTTGTCTGACGATGAAGGTCAGAAGGACAGCATTAGGTAGAAGTCCAACAATGGACAAAAATTCAGCATTAGATAGATGTCCAGCGGAAGTCCAACAACCGGTAGAAGTCCGGCGTCTGGTAGAAACTAGGTGACGAGCGGAGGACCGGCGTTGGGTAGAATTCCGACGTCAATTGGCGGCCGAGGAGAACTCCGACGTCACTTGGAGTTCAGGTGAAGCTCCGCCGTCACTTGGAGGTCTGGCGGAATTCTGGCACCGCTTGGAGGTTGGATAGAACTCCGGCATCACTTGGAATTTGAGTGAAACTCTGGCATCACTTGGAGGTCGGGCGGAATTCCGGCGTCACTTGGAGTTTGTGTGAAACTTCAGCATCACTTGGAAGTTGGGCGGAATTCCGACGTCACTGGAAGTTGGGCGGAATTCCGGTGTTACTTGGAGGTCGGGCAAAATTTCGGGATCACGTGGAAGTCGGGAAGAATCCCGGCAGTAGTCGAGGAGGAGTTTCTTCCATTCTACTCTTCTCTTCTCCTCTTCTTCTCTTGCTTCTTGCTTGGTGTGAGAGCTCGTTCCTTTGATTTGCCTTCCAAGATCTGATTTTCCTTCCAGGATCGTCCAGGCCGATTTTGGATCGTCTTGGGACAATCAGTGAATGGCAAAAGTCAGTGAGCAAGGGTTTTTATCGTCTGAGAAAACTAATTATCGTCCTGAGATATCGTTCTGGATGATTGGATTTTGTTCACATTGTCCTGGACGATGTGGCGATCGGCCGGGCCGATCAGGCTTGTTTTAAAAGAAAATCTGCTCGTTTTGATGAGAGAGAAAAATCTTTTTTAAAAAAAAAATATTTGAGGAGAGAGAAAGAGAAGGAAAGCAAAGGAAAAGCTGGATTTCGGAGGCCGCGGAGCGCTTTTCGTCCGTCGCCGTTGTTGTTAGGATTGTTTATCTCGCGGTAAGGACTCCGAATCCTATTTCTGTTTTCGAAGATGTTGAGTTTTGGTCATTTTGTGCACAGAATTGTGTTTTTGTTATCGATAAACGCGCCGTATTTTGTATTGACGAAACTTTCACCACACAACTTTTGATATGTTATTGATATGATTTTTCTACACGTTTTGAGTATTTTCTGTAACGATTCTACCGGTTATTTTGGGTTCTGTGCGATTTTGATCGAATAGATAAATATCAGG